AAGACTTAATACGATAACCAAGGCATTGTTAGAGGCCTTTATCCTGCATTATGTTTGAGATTGTCTCCCTATATCACATCTGGTTAAGTATTTTCTTTTTTGACCAAGTGTTTAATGGCAGTGCTAAAGCTCGTCGCTACAAGCTAGCATCCTGCAGATATTGCTGGCGACTTTGCTGACGAGGAAAACACACCTGATGGCTGTTCTTTCAGGTGCGGTAGTGGTAATGATGCGGCGCAAATGCTTACTACAGTCTGAAACGAGGTATGGTGGGAATTTCTAGCGGGTGACTACTCTTATAATATAGTTTCACCCTCTTTGAGGCACTGGGTTGGCAAGCCCAGAGAATGACACAGGTGGTAACCTAGCATCACAAAGTATAAAGTCCATAGGACATACATAAACGTCGTGGAGCATATTTATATAACTATCACGCGATACTCATAAACGCCACAGGATGTGGCGTTTATGCATTTAGACGTAATCTAATAATTATGTCTTCTTGGTCGTGTTAGGGTGTGCATGGAAGACAACGAGGTCGTCCTCAGTTTCCTGTATTATTTAAGAAGGTTTAATGGTTAAATACTCCTAGCCTGTGTTTAGGACATCAATGAACGGGGACTGGTTATTCCTTTCCTCTCTTCAAGGTACATGCAGTTTCCTGAGATCTTGATTTCTTCTCCAGATGACTGAACGTGTTGTGGAGTGACTAGTTGTGTTGGTTCAGTGATGTCTGTTGTCACTGCAGCTGCTGGTGGGAATCACTGTCTTGGTGTTCCTCTTGCCTCTCTCAGGTGGAAATATTGCCCAGGTTCTCGGTTGTTTGTAGGAATTGGGTTAATACTTTAGCTATATTCTGCTTTATATGGTGTGGGAAAATCCCACCTCCCCCAAAAAATTTCCATTGGCGAGAAATTTTCAGGGCGGTAAGATCATATTAACTTTGGTAACAGATGCCGGTAGATTGGATTAAAACGATTTGTGAACAAACTCTAGCGCATATTTATTCTAAAACTTTGCGGTCCTGGGAACTTGATCACTTGTAACACAGAGGATTAAATAATAGTATATACATGCGGAAAGTGGGATGCGAGTGACACCTGGTGACCTGGTTCCTGAACTGTGATGCCGAATACAGTGACAGGGAGAATATCGTATTGTTTCTGTAACACTGCAAAGAGTACAGTTTACATTTACATCAGTGCTGTACCTACGTTTTCCCCTCGTTCATAAATATGATGGGGATACACATTTTTTAGTTTAAAGACAGTATGAATATTCACTTTTCAAGAAAACCAGTTCCATATATCGTCTACGTAGCATAGTTATGGTGTTGCTAAGAGGAACAAATCATAGCCACCTCCAGCAACATAAAATTACTGAGGTAAGTAGACATTAGTTATTTTACTCCTCAATGACAGTGTCTAAACCAGTTATACAATGCTCGAGGGATTCAATGTCTCTTGGGGTAATCGCGAAGATGATTATACTTTAAGATGACACAGATGACCCTGACATCATGCACCACACACATCCCCACCTCCTGACCCGAGTCCATTTCACCTGACAGCTCTCCATTTCACTTGACATCACCACTTCAACTGACATCCCTACTCTACCTGACCTATCTCCACTTCACCTGATGTTCTGCTTCGCCTCACTTATCCCTGTTTCAATAACCTCAAACATTCTAAATATTACCCGTATCTGTAGTCCATATTCTATAGTAATAACCGAGAGATGGACATTCAACTTCGTCTCAACATCAGTCATTTAGTGGGTTAAATGTGTATGTCATTATTCTCACTAATTAGGACTCAGTCTCAGTGCAAACAGGAGTCATTATGGTAAAGAACGAAACGTACTCATGTCATCAGGGAACACCAGGCGGGTTCTAGCACTGTTCCTCACACTGACAAACTCACTTTCATATTCTAAATATTGCCCGCTGCAACAAACGCTGTCTTTAAATACAATAATAAATATTATTCAGATTAAGTGTGTGTGTGTGTGTGTGTGTGTGTGTGGTGGTGTGTGTGTGTGTGTGTGTGTGTCCAATAAGTCGAACTTCCTTAAAAATTTGACTTTTCCCCAAAGGTTTACAGATTGATCCAATTTTTTCGTTGACAGCTATGTGAAAAAAACTATTTTTTTTTACCAAACCTAAATTAGAAACCTAACCCAACGTAATTTTTTTAGCCAAATTCTACTCAATATATCACAAATCAGTTTAAATTACTTAATGAACAAAAAAAAACTATAATTGATTTTATGTAATATGTTCAGATTTTTATATATTACATAAATAAATTTTCACTGTGTTTATTAGGAAGAAATTACCTTTTTTTTAGACCTAACTTGCTGGTTCACCTTATTAGGCACTACCCAGGTCAGTTTACCTGGAGTTTACCTGGAGAGGGTTTCAGGGGTCAACGCCCCCGTGGCATGCAAATATGACCTATAGCTTTATTATATATTGTGCTAGGTTTATATTCGTAATTTGACGATCATATAAATCGTCTGTTTATATAAATACCCGCGATAATTATATACGTCCTGTGGCATTTATAGGAGTCTCGTGATGGTTACATATGTGCTCCAAGACGTTTATATAAGTCTTATGGACGTATATAAACGTGATGGTAAGTTATCACCTGTGTCATTATTTCTTCCCACTGACGTTTATCTGCCACTTATAATGTCGTTCACTTACGACACAAATTGTTCACTTAGAGGTTCATTTGCTCACTTATGCCATTTGTTCACATGTAGCATCATTTGTTCACATGTGACGTCGTCCGTTCACCTGAGTTCTCTCTCACACATGCTTCATTCTCGTTCCTCTGGCCTCTGTTCTCCTCCCTTAAAGTGAACAATCACCATCACCTGTCCAAACATTATCCTCCAACTGAATTTAAGCAAAATAGGGATGGTGTGACCACCGTAGACCTGACGCACAATAGACCCATGTGAACTGTGAAAGGTTGAGAGTATCGAGGGGTAGTGTGGGTGGGTGGAGAGGCTGTGTGGGTGGTTGGTGGGGTTGTGTGGTGGAGGAGCGGCGAGGCTACATAATGGTAGTTATTGTGATGGAGATGACGACTACGGTCCAGAGTACGTGGACTTTATGATGAACGAGTCCACTAGCCAATCTGGGTCTTAGATGGTGGTGGTGGTGGTGATAGTGGTGGTGGTGGTGATAGTGGTGGTGGTGGTGATAGTGGTGGTGGTGGTGGTGATAGTGGTGGTGGTGGTACACAAGCGAATCGACTAAGAAAAGGAAATACTGTATATTTCTTCCTACAACTCTACTGCCTAACTAGCGTGTTCCTGACATGGCATCAACTACACATGAGGTGCATACATTTTCTCGCTCTATAAACCTGCCTTCCAATCATTTTTCTTTATCGAGGCTGAAGAAGTTATCTGTTGCGTATCTATACACAAACCAGCTTCGTTTTCCGTGTGTCTCCAAGTTGGATATTGCTTAGTACGTACGTGTACACACTCACACACATATATATACGTATATATATATATATGTCGTGCCGAATAGGCAGAACTTGCGATCTTGGCTTAAATAGCAACGCTCATCTTGCCATATAGGACAAGTGAAAATTTGTGTATGCAATAATTTAGCCAAAATCATTCTGAACCTAACGAAAAAAATATATTTCACTGTGTTTGTTTAGTATTAAATTGTTGTAAACAAATCTAAAATATATTAAGTTGGGTTAGGCTAAAATAAATTGTTCTTGTTATAATAAGGTTAGGTAAGTTTTCTAAGTTCCTTTTAGTGCAAAATTATAAATTTTTACATCAACATTAATGAAAAAAATGTATCTTTAAACGTATAAGAAATTTTTTTAGAAAGGACTTAATTTTAAATGAGTTCTTGCTAATTGACCAGTTTTTACATATTCGCACGACATATATTATATATATATATATATAATATATAATATATATATATATATATATATATATATATATATATATATATATGCAATAAGATCACAGTAAACAGGTGATTTCAGAATATGCAAAACAACCACTCTGAAAGAATAGAGTTCCTTGATAATGTGAGTAGTCACGAAAGCGCTTGGAATTTCTCTATTCTTTCAGAGTGGTTGTTTTGCATATATATATATATATAATATATATATATTATAATTATAATATATTATATATATATATATAATATATAATTAATATATACATATATATATAATATACATACTTATATATTCTCTTCTTTATTTTCATAGTATAATATTTACATATTGATGTTTTTGCCCCGTGAACTTTGGGACCTCAGGAGGCCAAGATGGCCGCCGGCCTTAAACTTTGAGGAGGAGGTATTAGAAGCGCTTATAAATATAGCATTGTTACATATTTGGTACTAGCAATTTTGATCTTACCCTCTGGCTTCTTCATTTTCTATACTGCTGTTGCCCATGTCTCAGAAATTAGCAGTATTGGTATTGCTATTGATTACGATATTGTTTACCTCACGAAATCGTAATGACACGATTGCAAACAAACCATACAACGGGTGGGGCTAGAACCCGCGACCAGAGAGTCTCAAAACTCCAGACCGTCGCGTTAGCCACTGGACCAACTAGCCACAATAAGATTCATCCAGTGGCTAACGCGACGGTCTGGAGTTCTGAAAGACTCTGATCGCGGGTTCTATCCCCGCCCGTGGTATGGTTTGAATTATAATCGTCCTTGTTTGAGCGTGGTTCCTCCGAAGGGGATGAAACAGCCCAGTGTGGTAGAGACTTTTCGCTCAGTGTTCTGTTTTATCAAGGCTTGATAAAGTTCAAAACTGAGCGAAACGTCGCCAGAATATTGACTTGCTATGTATACTGTGTCTTGTCGGCACTCTTTGCCAGTCCCCAAGGATGGGTAGGCTAGCTCCAGTTTCTTGGATTAAGAGCACTTCACCAGGAGGTTTGAGCACCCACTCATATTTCTTACGTCTCTCTCTCTTTCAGAAGTTGACCCGGGTGTTGACAGTCGTGGAGTGGAAGATGGGGGGAGCGAGGGGTCGCCGCTACGACCACCCTCCCCCTCCAGCACAACAGGAGGGGGCGAGGGCCCCCAACACGCCCCTCCACCCCCGGCCTCCCCCGTCAAGCCAAGAATCTGGTCACTAGCGGACATGGCTTCCTCCTCGTCGTCACCCACGTCGCCGTCATCCACCCTGGCAGGAGCTGTTGGCAAGATGAGCGTTCACCGGCCGCTTCACCTGGAGGCGTCGCCCTACGCCCGTCCCTTGCCCATGGCCCCACGGCTGCCCTCCCCGCAGGAGGCGCTGCTGCAGGTCTACGCGAAATCTTTAGGCCTAGCGCCTCACCATACTCACACCTTCGCCTCTTTACCACCCGGCTTGAACGGCTTAGGAACCCATCTCTCTCCGCCAGGTATGGAAGCCCCGCTACCCGCTACCCTAGGGGCTCCAACCTACACTACTGCCCCCTTACAACCTCCCACCGTCAGCAGACCCGTGGCCACACGCCCACTGCCGCCCATATCACCCTCTTCCCTGCATCACACGCTCCCTGGAGGCGCTAAGATCACGCCTGCGCCGCCCCCCGCGCACAGGCCGGAAGGTTAACCTCATCCCCGGTACGTAGGCCTATCCGGTTTCTTTATTCACTAGGCCTAGTTACCCCGTCACCCTGAGGCTTGGTCAAGCTTTAACTGTTTCACAAGTTTGCTATGTGGAGGTGGATCTCGCCTCTGACACGTGTTTACACGTGTTGGCCAGCTACACGTGTTGGCCAGCTGCACGTGTTGGCCAGCTGCAAGTATTGGTCACCCGCGCTTCTTGGCCACCTGAGGATATTGCCAACTGTGTAATCAACAAAGAAAAAAATATCTCGTAGCATATCAGTTGTAGTGACAATTTATAGTTGACGCAGTGGACGTCATTGTGGTGGTGTGGGAGGCACGTCGTTGGCTGGCCGGAGACGGGAGTATCTCTTGGACACTTGACACTTGTGAGGAGGGAGGGGGGCCGAGCACAAACCATTTTTTTTTTCATCAAAAAAAGAGAAAATTAGCAGGCCATGAGAGTTGAGAAACTTAATGGTATTCAGACAGGTCAAGACGTCTCACGGACGCTGCTAGCACCAGTGCCAAAGAAACAGCACTAGTGAAGGTGCCAGTGCAACAGAGCGCCAGTGAAATGTGTAGCAAAGGTTCCCTGCCTCCGGTGATGCACCAGTGAACTCTAAAACTCAACGTCAGGCTAAATTTTAATCGAACTCAGTGTTTCACAGAACACCAGACGAAGCTTCGCCACTCTCTCTCCCCCCACCTGGCGACAGCTCCCTCAACCCTGGCTGTGGTCCGCCTGTCATAACGTTCAACCACTCAGTATAGTCTATAAATCTACTTCTATCTGCCAAAGTTACCACACACACACACACACACACACACACACACACACACACACACACACACACACGCTCCCATGTGTTTCCCTAGTGTTACTGTCCTTCCTTCAATCAATATACGAGTATTTTGTTTATCACAGCAAAACATCGTTCCTCTGTATAAGAGTTAAAAACAAAAAGGCTGACGATGTTTACCAAACATTGGAGCATCAGGCAATGTTGTCTGTATGTGTGTGTGTCAACATCGTACTTTCATGTCTTGGAAGATTGTTCAAATGTAAACAAAAAAAAAAAAAAAAAAAAAAAGGAATAGAGATGTCTTTTAATCATGTTTAACGGTAATATTCATAATAACAGAGTTTACAGAAATGTTAATTTGTGTGTACTGGCTCCGTTGTGTCAACTGGTGTTTCAGCTGTACCACGAACATCGGGGTAGCAACCCGCTGTGTACATACCTCGTAAACATGACAACAGAAAACGGTATTTACTAACAAGACGTATCTTCGGGTACGTTAGGTAACCTCATGTTTACATGATATGCTAGAAAAATCACTATTAACTAAGACTCTCCATCAATCGTATCATCTGGTCTTTCCTGCTTGAGAGGACTCAGACGCATGTGCAACATCTGGGTAATTTTTATTAAACGTGTCGCCAACCAGTGGCTCTTTCAGTGATGGTCTCCCGTCGGAATCGCCAGATTCGTAACATTATCACCTCCATACGCTAACCGCGGAGGCTGTCACGCTTGATCCGAGGAATGGGAGGGTGGCTCTCATTCTTTAGATCAAGAACTTCCTCCCCCAAGCAGAAAGAAAGAAGAAACACAATCTTGAAGCCACTGACCACGACTTAACGATCCTTCAATAGTGATTTTTCTCTCGTATACAACAACGTTACTACAAAAATTTATACTTACACAGCAAATTAAGTTGGAAAAACAAAAGGTCACCTCCTATTGTAAATACCACTTTTTCATTATCAATCTTCTTGACTTACCTTTGCCATCTTGAATATAAACACTGTCAGCTCCTACCAAGAAGAGAAAAATGTAATCAGGAGTTACATTATTACCTCAGCATGTTTTTATTTTTATTGTAAATGTTATGTTAATATCAAATTATTGTTTAGGATTAAAGATCATGTCTCGTTACGGCTACAGTAGTTTTATATCCTATTGGTCTTCCAGTAACCCAATTGTGGTCTTAACGTTATGCTCAAGAGCTAAACATATGTTGAAAGTTAACACACACCATATGCCTATATTGCAGCATATGCCTATAACATGTGTGACAGTTTCAAGATACACACACACAACACATGTCGTGCCAAATAGGTAAAATTGGTCAATCAGCAAGAACTCATTTAAAATTAAGTCCTTTCTAAAATTTTCTCTTATACGTTTAAATACATATATATATATATATATATATATATATATATTATATATATATAATTATATATATATATATATATATATACATATAAAATTTCATTTATATGTAAAAATAATAATTTTCACCAAAGGAACCTTAGAAAACTTACCAGACCTTATTATAACAAGCTCAATTTAATTTAGCCTAATCCAACTAAATATACTAGATAAGTTTACAATTTAATAACATACAAACACAATAAAATATATCTTTTACGTTAGGCTCATAATGATTTTTGCGAAATTACTGCATTCACAAATATTCCCTTGTCTTATTCGGCAAGAAGAGCGTTGCTATTTAAGCCAAAATCGCAAGTTTTACCCATTCGTCAGTACATATATATTATATATATATATATTATATATATATATATATATATATATATATCTATATATATATATATATACACACACACAATTTTTGGCTCATTGACAATGATATATACTTTTTTTGGGCCGAACCTAATCAAGAAATCTTACCTAACTTAAAACATCCAGCATATCTGGTGCCCATCATGTCTGGCATTCATTATTCACCCTGGTATCTGGTACCTATCATACATCTTGGTGTCTGGTATCCTTTATTCACCCTGGTACCTGGTATCCACCATACACCCTGGTATCTGGGATCCATTATTCACCCTGGTATCTGGTATCCATTATTCACCCTGGTATCTGGTACCTATCATGCATCCTGGTGTCTGGTATCCTTTATTCACCCTGGTACCTGGTATCCACCATACACCCTGGTATCTGGTATCCATTATACACCCTGGTATCTGGTATCCATTATTCACCCTGGTATCTGGTATCCATCGTACACTCAGGTATCTGGTATCCATTATACACCCTGGTATCTGGTATCCACTACACACCCTGGTATCTGGTATCCATTATACACCCAGGTATCTGGTATTCATTATTCACCCTGATATCTGGTATTCATTATTCACCCTGGTATCTGGTATTCATTATTCACCATGGTATCTGGTATTCATTATTCACCCTGATATCTGGTATCCATTATACACCCTGGTATCTGGTATTCATTATTCTCCCTGGTATCTGGTATCCATTATTCACCCTGGTATCTGGTATCCATCATACACCCTGGTATCTGATATCCATCATACACCCTGGTATCTGATATCCATCATACACCCTGGTATCTGGTATCCATTATACACCCTGGTATCTGGTATCCATTATACACCCTGGTATCCATCATACACTCTGGTATCCATTATTCTCCCCGGTATCTGGTATCCATCATACACGCTAATATCTGTATGATACCAACCATTTACCCTAATATCTACTTGGTATCTATCACTGACCTTAGCATCTAATACTCACCATATTTCTTATTACCTATTTGATACCAATTCACACAAATTTTTGACCAAATATATCAATGAATTACGAAATAGGCAAGATGTAAGTGCATCGCAATGTGAAAGGTAGATAAAACGAGAAGACTGGGCACGGAGTACACAGTGCTAGGAGCCACACACGAAGCACTGCATCAAGCCTGTCACGTCAGTGGTATATGCAAAACAAGCTAATTAAAATCTTACACTAATCTTAACTAACATTTAGGATATAGACAAGAGTATTACCGTCTCTAGACAGTAATAATCTATGCGATATGTCAAAGGTATCTTATTTTCATTAATAAGATTCTAAATACATATAGCAAATATCCCAAATTTGCCTGCAGCAGATGAGGTAAATTTAAAGGTATAAATCCAAATGTAATTCTGCTAGCCATTTTTGGGTCAGGTTACTAGGCCTTTTGTGTATCCATATGCTCTTGCGCTAACCTCCATGGGATGGATACGAGGTGTACAATAAACTAGCCGCTTTGGCGACATCTACAGTGCACCTGGTTCACATCAAGAGGATGTATCGCCAACCTGGAACCCGCACTTGATCTATCGTGTGGAGAAAATAGGGAAGTGTAACAGTGGATAGTATGAGAATAACAACGAGCTGGAAATGATACACACACATGCAGCAAATGGCAGCGTTATTAAGACGGTGTTTCGTCTGCTTAGCCTGCACAGCAGGCTTGTGCGCAGGCTTGCGTGTTTTTATCAACTTTACAATGGAGAAGCTCCAATTTTTCGAAACGAAATTAGTACCGGAACTAACGGGCAAGTGGAGATAGGCTACATAAACACCCTGAGCTTAATTCATCAACACTAGAAGACAAGGCGGAACAAAGACGTGTGAGAGGCGAGGAGAGGAAGGCAGGGAACCCAAATGGCAATCTAAAGACCAGATAAACCACAGCGAAGTTAGAAAGGGCAATTAATCCTGAGGTTAGCAAATGGAACCAGCTAAACGAAGAAAAAAACACACACAGCTTCAGGAGTTATATAACTAGACTATTTTGCACGAGACAAACACAAAAACTAGCAGCATATGGAGAGTTAAGACAAAAAAAATAGCCTTCAGAAACTGGAAGAGGCATTCAAATCACTGTACACAAGATTAAGAGAGGAGTGGCCCTTAACAACCATCTAATACCTTAAAACTTGAGCCTGCAGTAGTGAAGGCATCTCAAGCATTGCTTATAAACTTCAAGATGATTTTCAAGTAGTTAGACGCAGAGTTATTATAGCAGGTGTTTTAGAAGCATCTGGATAAATATTATAGCAGGTGTTCAAGTATCTGGATAAATATTATAGCAGGTGTTCAAGTATCTGGATAAATATTATAGCAGGTGTTTAACAAGTATTTTGAAAAATGAATATAGGTGTTTAACAAGTACGTGGATAAACGATTATAACAGGTGTCATAAGAACATAAGAACATAACAAAAGAGGAACACTGCAGCAGGCCTGTTGGCCCATACTAGGCAGGTCCTTTACAATCCATCCCGCTAACAAAACATAGAACATAATGTAACCGGTAAAGGAATATTATAACAGGTATTTAACAAGTATCTAGATAAAAGAATATTAATGCAGGTGTTTAACGAGTATATGAATACAGAGACATTGAAAGCAGGTGTTCAATACATGTATGAACATACTCAATATTGCACCTAAGAGATGTTCACATCTTGAATTAGTATTAGAATCTAAGCGCTAAACCCACACCTTGACAAAGACATCAGTACCATAACTAAAGTTTTAGAAAAATGAAATGTAATCCACAAGTCGAAACAACGAAGACAAAAAAAAACTTTGGAGAACAGGAGGAAAAAAAGTATATGTTAACTACACGTGTTAACAAAATAGTTAAGTTGGTATAATACTGTATAATGTAAATAAAAAATATAATATTCTAGAATATAGATATATTAATATATTACTCTGGTACCAGCCATATGGAACCCAAGAGCTAGAGCAGTCACACCTCGAGAGGCGTTGTTTTGATGCTGCTCAAGAGCTGTTGATCCAGAGAACTGGAGCAAATCTGCCTTACCTCGGATCAAACCTGATTACCTTCTATTTCCCACGGCAGCATGTCACCTATGAACCACCAGTCAGGGTTACTTTTATCCCCAAGCACAGGAATTAAAGTAAATTTTGTGTATACATCCTGAGAAGTATTATACATACATGTATATATATATATATATATATAAATATATATATTAATATATAAATATATATATATATATATATATATATATAATATTTAAAATATAAATATATATATATATAATATTTTAGATATCAAGGATTGGGTCTCCCCAGAAAGTCTGCAATGTTGATCCATATTTAATTAACAGTTGTCGAGGAATATATTAACAAAAACTACGTGGTATATTAAGAACTTATAAATTAAAAACAAAAGAACCAGACATATTGACAAATTTCCTAAATCAGCTTGCCACATATGAGAAAAAATTTTTGTTTAAAAAAAATTTTTTTTTT